AAGCCAATGCCAAGGCTCCCGCTCGCACGCTTGTGTGCCACAAAAAAGAAAAACAACGCGGCCAAGTGCAGTCCTGCACATCTCCAGCACTCCGAATGATGTTGCAAAACTCCTCCACATTGATTGCAACCAGCTTCGCAAAGCCTCAGACTAATCAATGTCCAGCATCAAAACATGCAAACACAGTGAATTTTCAACACATTGAGTGCTTTCAGTTCTTTCTGCTAGCGCAACTACAGTATATTGGAAGTCAAACAAGAAGGCATCTCACGTCACGTCGTGTCACGCCACAGCCATTTCAGCTGAGAAACTGATGGATGAAAGGTCGCCGACATGGGACCACTCCGTCCAAAGGCACATCTCAGAAATCCACTGCCGAGACACATCACAGGGGCAGTGCCCCGTCCGGACATAGCACAATGCACCATCAAGGGCAAAATAGGTTGCATCAGCTTCAAAGCCTGCGAAGCACTTGCGATGCATGGACCGCGCACGAGAAAGAATTGGAATGCGTCGACACAGGGGGCCGGTAAATCTGTGGTGCCAGTTGACCCAGTTGACCCGCTTGAACAGGGTGTCCCAGTTGACCTGGTTGAACCCAGTTGACTGTTGGGATGTGCAGGGTTCCGGGAGCAGGGCATGTAGGGCGAGTGGGGCAACTTAGAAGTCCGTATCTTCTATGGACGTGCAGGAGATACAAACATTTGGGCAAGTGGGGCAAGTACGTCAAATGGAGATAGGACAGGGCCAGAGGTACAATTGGGGCAAGTGGCAAGGGGCAAGAGACAGTTTAAAAAGTCCGTATCTTCTGCGGGCGCTTGGGAGATACAAACATACGAACGTCATTTTGGGGAAGGCCATTTGCCGCGCAGATTGCTTTCTTCTATTAATATAAGTAGTAGTAGTGGTGGTGGGCCCAGTTGACCCAGTTGACCTGGTTGAGCCCAGTTGACCCAATTGACTTTGTGCAATGGCAAGTGTGGTAGTGCCAGTGGTAGCAGCAGTAGTAGGTGGTAGCTGGTAGCTTGATGGGGTCAACTGGGTCAAGCGGGTCAACTGAGTCCGGAGATTTGCTGCAAGAATCTTCTGACATGTATAGCTTCTTGTTACTACTAGTAAGGCACTTGTTACTAGAAGCGATGCACTTGTTCCTAGTATATTGATCAAGCCTATGTTCTACATGATTATACATGCATGTGCTTCCCAACAACATGTTAACGCTTGGCAGCCGCTGCAAAACACCACATCATCTTCTGCAGAGTCCAGCACGGCAATTGCTCTCTGCGCCAATGTCTGCACAATCTGATCTTCTTGCGTGGACTCACCAGACAGCAGCTGCTCGAGGAAATTCATCTGGGAGAGGCAATCTCGGTATCGAGCGAACTCGAGCTCAGCCTCAAAGACAGCGTCGCAGAATACAAAGCGCAATCTTTAAAACCGTAGTTCGTTCGTGGTAGCAAGCAGCGGCAAGCAGTAAGGACATGGGTTGGAGTAACATTAAGTTTCCCTATAAAAATATTGGAACAAAATGATCAGTGCGAGCGCTATCCTGTGTCCTGGGTAGGACCGTACTTGTAGGTAGATGTAGGATGATGTAGGTAGCTACCTAGTCCCTACTAGCTAACCTCTACCCGTACCTACCTACCTCGCGGCCTGCCCCCCCGGTGTTTCACTCTCAGGCCTGGAGCGATTTGGAGAGATAGTCCAGGATGTAAGGATCACGGGCGTTCTTCTCTCGCTGGTGGTAAGTGTACTGCAAGAAACGTGTGATTCGTCCACTGAGGTTTTCTGGGATATTGTTGATCCGCAAGAACCGGCGAAGTAGACCAAATTGTTGGGTCTCCTGTGATTGAAGGGCTTGTGGGCACAAAGGCCCCAAGAGGTCCACTGGGAGTCAAGAAGCAAAAACGAAGGAGTGATGCCTGAGAGGCTCCGCATGGCTGCGCAAAGACTTCGCCAGCAGGAACATCCACAAGCTGCTCGTTCACGAGAACTTGGGCAACAATGCCATTTACAAACAGTATACAATTCGGAGGGGATCAAGGAAATATTCCCAGTGCACTTTCGTGGCAGGCACAGCACTTTGTGAACCCTAGCGTGTAGATATCGTTTAGGCCTAGGCGCAGCATTTTGTGAAACTCAAATTGGACGTTGTGTGTCAAGCTAAATGTTTGGTGCATGTGTGCTCTCATATATGTGTGTCCGCTCTCTTATTGTTTTTTGAGTGCTGGCATGACAATAATGATAAGAAAATGAAACAAGAAAAGGGTAGCAGGGTGATGAAAGGAGCAAGCAAGGAAAGAAACCAAATGGTTAAAGGGGTCGACTTTTAAAGAGCCTTTTTTTTGGAAGGCACGATGCTTTGGAAGAAGCCCCCCAAGAATTCATTGATGCCCAGGGGCACTTGAAGGAGCTAGAGTCAGAGACAAAGAAGCGAAGAAGACCAAACAAGGGGACCAGAACAGGGAACCGGATTAGACGAGCCGGACTGGGATCAACCTATCACGAAGCCAGGGCAGAAAAAAGGCTACTGGGCGGAATTAAAATCCAGTTCGGAAAGAACAACACATGAACTACCAGTGCATGGACAGGTGGCGTCACTGTTTCATGGTGCTTCATGTTGTTTCAATGTTCTAGTGTGCCTTGTGAATAGCTGGGCGATGTAAGTTTGTCTTGCTGATATTGCTGCACTCACTTGTGAAATCTTGTAGGTGCCTTGGAGCTCTTGTATCAAGCATTCTTTCTAGAATCTTCAAGATGAAGTGGGAAAGTCGTTGGCACAGCCATTCATGGTCTCACATTCACGTTAGATTAGGGCACGCTAAGGAGTGAATTCAGATCAGTCTACATTGTTTGGTGTTTACCCCTTTTCGTTCCGTTGCATCTTCAAGAGCGCGCCTGTTCAAATCAGCCATGCCCTAACTTTGGCAGGACCTACATGAACCTGTCTAGTCTGGAGTCTAGTCAATGGTAACCTTGACTTGTAAATGGCACTCCTGAAAATTCTGATGCTTTTGCAACTGTCATACCACACTGTCAATTCAGAGCCAATAATAATTGTGTCCATGTCTATTCACCTCTCCTCCATCCGCTGACTTTGCAAAGCGCTCACCAAGGAGGTCATTGCACTGACAATCGTCGAGAATGTGACCTTTCACGGACGGAGGGTCTTCAAGAAGCTAATTACTAGCAACAAGGACGCTACTAGGGGCTCCTGGCATCGCTACTAGGAGCAAGTGCCTTAC